TTTTTTTTTTTTTTTTTTTTTTTTGCTTTTTTTCAAGTTTTTGCAATTTATACACTGCTTTTGTTGCCATTTTTATAAATTTTTATGATACAAGAAATGCAGAAGTTCTGATCTAGTTCTAATCTGATACCCTTATTGATTTCTCAAATCAGCCATACTGTTTAACTGATCTGCTAAGTCTTCTAACTGACATTTTTCAGGAAGAAAAAGAAGCGTTGAAAGGTAATTAAAACTTTCATGATAATTTTTTATATAATAGTCATGTCTTAGCATTGACATACTTTTATTGGTTAGGCAGTAGTGATTGATAAGCTTCAGTTGCGCAGCTTCTAAGGTTTTTCATTAGAAACCCAAGGTAACAGGTATGGTAACAGTAGACCTTACAAAAGATATCTCTGTTGTTGTTACTACCGGTAACAGTAGAATTCTTTAAACTAAACTTCAATTAAATTGAGACTATGAATGATCTTGTTACTGTAAATCGAAGCTAGCAGAAAAGATGGAGGTTTATTAAATAATTCAGAAAACTAGCGGTAGTTGAACGCAGTTTAAATGAAATTTTTTGACTGAGGAGGTACTAATCTTTTCAGAATTGGATTTTTGAAAATTTGTTTTTGATTTCATTTTACTATTACTCTATAGGTGTGTGTTTAGATGTCGTATATCTGTTATTTAATATATGCTCACGAGTGAGTAAACTTAAATTCAAGAAACCCTTTTATACACCATAATTCTAACCTACTTTTGTTGGTAATAAATTTATTTGATTTACTGACTTAGTATTATAGCGTTTATTTCAGTCCTATACCTTGTATCGCTATCTCATTTATTACGATCATAAATAAGTTTTACGTTGACACTTCTTACGAATTCGCAACTGTGTTTTGGATGTGTATAGAGTGCTGTAGGGAAAAAAAGATCAGTAAATTGATAAGCTGTTATTCAGCTATTATTTTGTGCTTTGAGTCTGAAGCTATAGCTATTGGAACTGTAAAAAGCAACTGGCGTAGTAAGTGCGAGGTGGTTCTACTGAAAGCTACAGCTGTTCTTTGCGCTTCATAGTATGTGCTTTGTTCTGCAGGTTGTGATCGCAATAGTTGAAGTTGATACCATGTTTATTGCTGTATGGCCACCCCTTCAGCTTTCTCTACATGCACGTTTAGAATGGACGTTGTAAAAGTGAATTTTACACAGTGATGCGGTTCTGACGCTTCTTTTATGCCCTTGAGACTAAGAACATCTGTCGCTTTTATCGTAGTTCTTCTTCTTCGTTGCACTTGTATTCCTCATCTGATTTAACCACTGTCTTTTTTTTTTTTAATTTTGCTTCCAGCGGTGAAGTTGCAGGTTGCTATTCTAAATATCTTCAATATTTTAGAACAAGATTTCTAGCTGTTTTTACGAACGTTTGTCCTGTTTGGAAACAATATGCTTTAAAGTATTACCTTTCAGTTTTTTGTTGCACGTCGGATATATCAAATTTTCTTTTATTGATGGGATTTGTGAACTTTATGACTTGCAAGTAGATAAATAAAACATTCTATATCATTTAATATTGTTATACAGTTAATTAAGGTTATTTAGACGTATTTGCTTAAGCAACGTAAAATAAGGAATGCGCCTTCCAAAACCAGAATATGCTGAAAAGCAGGTAGAAAAAAGTTTTGGAGAGAATTAAGGAGTAAACTGAAAATTTTACAAAAAGGTGTGGAATTAAGAGCTGACTGTACAGGTTAAAACTTGTCAGCGTAAATAACAACATGTGCGTTCTGAAGAATTTGTGTTTTATCAGCTCTTAGGTTTATACTTGAAGAAAGTATTTAACAGAGGGATTTCTAATTTGTAAATTTTTTTTTTGCGTACTTTCTGTTTACCGACAAAAAGGAGCAATGAATTTTTGTACAGCTTTTTTGGTATTGCGGGTACTGCTTTTTCTCGTGAGCTTTTAAAAAAAATGTTGGGAATGTAGATTGTGAAAAATAGAGTCCTCATGCTTTTGACTTATTCTTTTCTATTTTCTACCTTTATTTATAATTTTTTCATTAACTGAGGATTTCACTGTTATTAACCGAAGATAGCGATACCGTGATTTTGGAAGGATTATGTTTAAAAAAGCGTATACGCTTGGTTGTTTGTTACTGAGAGTTGTTTTTTTAAATTGTTTGTTTTTCTTTTTTCAGTTAAAGAAGGTATTATTACACAGGTCCTTCCAGGTTCACTAATACTAGGCTTTAGATGGCATCAGTAATCTGGAGGAGTTTCTTCAGGAAGCCATTATTTCTAGTTGGGCAGTGTCGGGCCATCCATAACTCATATGGTAATTTTAAATTTTAACTGTTACAAGTGGCTGTGGTATTTGCCGCTTTCGCTTCGCTATTCAAGCAGCAGCGGAATTCGAAAGAAGTTTGCTGATAAGAAAGCAATTTCTTAGCTTGCAACTTCATTTTTATCGTCATTTCAGTCCGGTTTTTCCCCCTCGTTCAGTTTAAGCTTGCTGATATAGGCGAAGGGATTGCAGAAGTACAGGCACGTGATCAATAGTATTTCTCTATTGTTTACAAGTTCTGTTGAAGAAAAGAACGCGAATGAAACTGATAAGAGTGGTTACTGAATTCTAACATTGCTCATTAGAATGACGAAAGCATCATTTTGTAATTTGCCTCCGCCTCTGCCCAGTTTTAGTAAATTTCTTGCCTTGCTTGTACTTTTCGTGCATTTCGCAGTGTCAGTATGAGTCTTACATCTGTTGATCGTGAAAATTACAGAGCTTTTTTATTTCAAGATTAAAGAGTGGCATGTGAAGGTCGGTGATACTGTTTCACAATTTGACAACATTTGCGAAGTTCAGAGCGATAAAGCATCAGTGACGATTACAAGCAGATATGATGGTGTTATTAAAAAACTGTATGAATTTTGTACTTTTTTTTGGACTTTATTTAACACTTGCTTTAAGACAGGTCTTTATTTAAATGTCATTATAGTCCTTAGCGTTCTAAATATTTTTAGGTATTACAATGTAGATGATATCGCGAAAGTGGGTTCAACTCTTTTTGATATTGAGACTGAAGGTTCGGCAGAGGAAACTGAGAAAGCAAAAAGTGCGAGTTATTGGTCTCATATAGTTAATGCTTTTGATCCCTATTATTTAAAAAGTGTTGCAACAGGAATAAATTGGGATAGGGTTTGAAATTGTTGGAATTTTTTTCGAGTTGTGTATGTAAAAGTTTTAAATATTTTATACTAGTTTACTGGCATTTTGCTAAAAATTATTTAATGACTTTTTCAGAAGATTCAGCAGAATCTAGCTCTGGAACAGAGACAAGATCGAAACCGGCTGGAAGTAGTGGAGAGCCTATTAGCGTAGGAAAGGTTCTGGCCACTCCTGCCGTCAGAAGGATAGCTGCAGAACATAAGGTGATGTATTGCTACTATTTGTTCATGGAATTTTTTTTATTAATTGTTTGCTTTAAGGTAATAAAGTTTTTTAAAGGTCAACCTTAATACCGTGAAAGGAACTGGAAAGGATGGCAGAGTTTTAAAGGAAGATCTTTTGAGGCATATTGGACAGCTACCAGGTACGTCTTTCTTTAGTAATCATTTGAATGTTGTTCCTTAGATGAGGTTTTTTGCTTCTTGATTTAACGGCTGTGGGGGACAGCGGAGAGTAACGATATAATGAACAGTAGATGCTACTGTAGGTTTATGGAGCTTATTATTTTTGTAGTAAGATAACGAAAACAGAACTTAATGCTATCATGGAAACGAACACTCTTAAAGGTTTGCGACAATTTTGGACTTCAGTTTTGCGTGTCTTAAAACTGTTTATTTAGCATGTGTTGGAGTTCCAATTACAATTAATGCCATGATTTTGGTTTATGAGTCGTCATAAGTGCATACATGCCAGGAAAATATTTAATTTTTTTTACAGCATTCAGCAGCATTTATTGTTTCATTTCACGTTCGCGCTTTAATTTATTTTTCGTAAGAGGCGCTTGTAGCAGTCTAGTGTTTTTTTCAGACAGCAAAGATGCTGCTTTTTATGATTGTTTTTTTTAGGCTTAGAAAGGCGACCTGAGGTTCGTGAAGCTGTGTTGACGACTTCGCCACCAGCAGTAAAGCCGAGAAAGATGGTTTTTTTTTTGCTTCTCTTATAAGCTCCAGCATTTGCGCTAAAGCCTGTTTGGCATTTATATTTATTTATTTGCATGTAGTCTGCGCTTTATTTTATGTTGTTCGACTCGCAATTAATCTGTTAGAGAATTAAAACAGTTGCTTGTCAACATTTTATTTTTAACCGAATATACACTAATTTTTTTCATGAGCAGCCGTAAATCTTTTTTATGGGTTTTATTTACTGCGTCTGGGCATTTTAATGTGCTTGTTAGTCTCTTTGCCATTTTCAATTGAACCGATTCTAGTATGAACCACTAACAGAAGATAAAGTTGTGCCTATACGCGGATACACGAGGGCAATGATTAAGTCAATGAGTGAAGCTTTAAGGATCCCTCACTTCGGATTTCACGATGAGGTAAAGTGGTCTTTACTCAGAAGCGTATTTTGATCTCACAACTGATATATGTCTTTGTAGTTTTACGTAGATCGGTTGGTAGAAATGCGAAAAGAATTGAAAGAGCTTGGAAAAGAACGGGGTGTCAGGATGACTTACATGCCTATATTTATTAAAGTGGCGTCAATGGCTTTGTCGGAATATCCCATGTTAAATTCCGTTTTAGATGAAAGAGGAGAAAATCTTATCTATAAAGTAAGTTCTTCAATTTTATATTTCACTTTTTAGCATTATGCCCAAAAGGTTTTTTGCCAATTAGGAATTTCCCAGGCTTCTCATAATATCGGGATCGCTATGGATACTCCGCATGGTCTGGTGGTTCCTAACATAAAAAACTGTGAACAGCGTAATTTGTGGGAAATTGCTGAGGAATTGCAAAGGCTTGGAGAAGCCGCAAAACATGAACAGTTGTCGCAACAAGAAATTTCTGGAGGAACTTTCACTTTATCGAGTGTCGGCATGGTATGTGATTCTTCCTCCCTGGTTGAGGACGCATTGATGAAGTAGTTCGATCATCCTTTGATACTTCTTTTTTTATCTGGGAAAGAGCATTACTGTTACTTTCTATCCCTATGTATGAAATATTTATCCCCGTTTCTTAGTTAGGATTTTAGATCGTTTTTCTCCCTGCTGAATTTTTGTCTGGTTGAGTTAGAATGACAAAAGCTTTCAATGTTGCTCCTCATAATATACAATGAAATCAATTTTTTTTAGTAACCGGCTATTAAAAATCTTCGATCGTTAGTGTCAAATGCAGCATAAATGTTGGAGGGCTTTTGGCGACCGCCAAAAGCCCTAGCAACATTCATGCTGCATTTAACACTAATGATCAAAGACTTTAATAGCCGCTTATCAAAAAACAAAAGGCTTTTTTTTAAATATCTACAGTTTGACATTTAACAGTTTCATTTTACTCTCTCTTTTTAGTTGGGAGGCATGTATGCAAACCCCGTCATCCTTCCACCGCAAGTGGCCATTGGTGCTTTGACAAAGATCCAGAAGGAGCCGAAAATTGACAAGGATGGAGAGGTAAGTTTAACAGAACATGTATGCTTCAACTCTGAAGAGTATTTTTTTGTAACTGTATTGAGCATCGTTTTACACATTTATTTTGACTAGTGGCATAGAATTTTTAGATTTTTGCCCCTCATGTGCTACGAGTTTCATGGTCAGCTGATCATCGAGTCATCGATGGGGCCACTGTGGTTCGTTTCAGTAATTTAGTGAAACAATATTTAGAAAACCCGACTATTATGGCTGCGCAGTTAAAATAACCGGCTTTCGAATAATTAGAAAAAAAATAGCTCTTCTAAATATTTTTCCACCGTTGTTATTCAGTTTTAGAGTTGAGAATTAACAGATTTTTAGGAAATGTTTGCTTTACGAAAGATACGGCTAAGTTTTATTTTCCTATTAATAGGAACATTTGTCGTTTAGTTGACTCTAATTCTTGTTCTTCTACTTGTTTACTGCCCGTTAATCAAGTATTCATACTTTCCATCTGCAACTCTTGCCCGAAAAGCTGGCCTTGAAGCATAGAGATACAGTTGTTTGGTCTTTCCCAATCTGGTGACTACGTCGGGCTTAACTTGTTCTTTTGACCATAGCATGAACTCTATTGATATGAGCCGTTCGTTTTGATTTCACTACTTTTTAGTTGTAATGCAACCTAAGAGGAATTCCTTGTTAACTGCTATTTTGATAATTTTTGCTGGTATGTTGAGTAATATATTAGCTACTGTCACTAGTGAATTTGACCAATGTTTGAGGGACAGACGAAGTCGAAAAAGCAACCCCACTGTAATGTTAACGGATACTCTGCGGTAGGGTGTTTACTATGTCACTTAACTGTTTTTCTTGTACTTCAAGATTCATAAATACCGATTGCTGTTAACTTCTTGAAGCTTTAAATATTTATGCACTAATTAAGGATTAATGACTCATATGCAATGTAAAAGCAGGGTAATTTAATAAAGCGACAGAAACAATTAATAGTTCCTGTTTCCTACTCACACTCTCGACGATAACTTCCAGATAGATGAGACTTTTATTGAGAATGTTATAAGAGAGGTACTTAACTAGTCAGCAAACGCCAAAAAAGACAAGGCCATATAACAGCACGCACGCAGTGGTGCCCCGTAAAGTGTGCCTGACAATGCTTCTCCGCTTTGAATGCCTGTGCGGAACACGTCACTCGTTTTTCATCACTCGTGAAATTTGATTAGAACAAAAAAAGTTGCAATCGCCCTCAAATTCAGCATTTCCACATCATTTCAACATCTCATCTATTCAGATGTTCGCCACTCCACTTCTTTTTATCCTTCCGTACATCCAAAATTTCTTCCGACTTTCCAACACAACAACAGTCCCCTTGACCTACCACCACCAACCCAATATCCGATGCTTTTGTGGACTTCCCCATCAAACTCCAACTTCCAAAGTTTCTACATTATTTCACAGAGTCCAGGACGTCCCAAATTTTGTCCTCATGTTCACCTGGTATCAGATGTTAGGAACGTCCCTACATTATATGCTTCTAGAATGCTCCTGCGTTGCTGCCTGTGTTTTCACTGCTTAAGACGCAAACGCTGAAGTCAGCATGCCGAGGGTCGATCATAAAATAAAATGCAATCCCTAGTGGGGGAAGTAAATTGAAAAAACTGGTGTAACTAAGGGACTGGTTGTGTTGGAGAGATTGATCAGGTAGCCCCTCAAATCTTTCTATATACTCTCTTACTGAATGGGATGCAGAAGTGACAATGCCATTTGCTTTTTGTTAACGTTTAAGGCACAAAGAAATGTATATAACAGAGTGGACCGACGGGTGGCCACGAAATGGTTAAGGAAGAAACAACCAAGTCCTTAAAATTACTGCTACCATCAAGAAGTGCTTGGTAACAGCTGCGAAATTCATCTCATTTTCTAGCAAACAAGCCAAAATCTACCCTTCCACCCAGATATATAATTGCTCTCGTAAAACTGCCCTCCTCCGTATGTTTTAAAACTGTCAAAAAGTAAAAAGAATCGCTCTTCATTTTTCTATTATTTGCACAGCAGTAAACGACTGTGAAGGCAAATGAAACCATATACGCAACCCTTTGACCAAAAAAAGAAAATTCCAGTGCTTCCTTATTATGCAGTGGAAGCAAATTCGAGAAGAGTGTAAGTGTTTTCACCATTTAATAAAGCAAACTTCGACTGTTGGGTTATAGGTACGGTGGTTTGCTTCCACAGCTACCATCTCATTCGTAAAACTTACAATCACAAAACTAAAACTTGAGCAATTTCATCATGTTCATAAGTTCTTTTCGAGAAAGTGTCGGTCACGCGAATCCCAGAAATCGACTAAAAAAGATCGCGATAATCTGCATAAGAAAAATTATTTTACTAACTGGAAACTTACGACCTAGAAGAATCATTTTAAGAATCAAAAAACCGACAACCTGAAGACCAGTTTGAAGAGGAAGAAGTTGCAGCGTAAAATCGACAACATTATTCGGCCGTAACTGCCCCAAGTGTAGACCACTTACGCAGGAGAAAATGATCCCAGGTTGAAGGCTGCCATTTAATGTTAGCACCAACTCAAGTGGCCGTTCACTAAGGCAAAAAATCATTTAAATTCCATTCAAAACTGCTTATTATTCTGACGTAACTTCCACCTCGGTAAAAAATACTAAGGATTTGATACGAAACATTTTTTTTTTTTTTTAAAACACCACTCTTACCCAAATCAGCTGTCCAACTCAGACCAACCGGAGGAAGGACTGTTACAGGGTTCGTGTTCTTAACAGATTCTCTAAAAAATTTCTACAGATGGATGCTTGCAAAAACTCACCTGCAGTTATGTAGCCTACAAACCATCTCAAAAATCTGCTTTTGTTCCACCACTGCAGTTATTTTTTCAACAGTCAAACGCAAGTCACCGTATCCAGGAGCCAAAAAAGTTTTTTTGATAAGTAAAAAAATTAAAAAATGACAAACATCGAAATTTCACAATATTGTTACTAAGACTTTTGAGCAGCAGAAAGCCAGTAACCTGATCAAAAAGTATTATCACCAAATTTAACATGACGTTAAAGCTTCAAGACCGCTTGTTACATACCTTAGGACTAAAAATTTTGAGCTGACCCCTATTTTAAAGATCTGCTAAAATACACAATTACTTACTATTCGTTGTAAGGCGTTAGTCTGGATGTGACCCCTTTCACCCATTGCTGTTCTCCACACCATGTCCAGTTTCCCGATAGAAGTACCTCCTCTAAAAACAAATATTTTTACCTTTAGTTTTGAATAAATAATTTACGGCAAGCTTTTTAGGACCTCACTTGTAATAATTCAAGGAATAGTCAGCCACATTAGGCTTCAAGCAAAAAAGGAACTGCCTAACATCCATTCGATTCAAGTACCGTTGTTCTGAATCATTGTCGCTCCTGCAAGTTCAGTTCAGGAAATAATGTTTGTTGTATTATAAGTATGGTGAAAATATGTGTTAAACTAGACCGTTAACTAAAATTATACAAAAAAGTTAGGAAATCAGAAATAAACCCGCTCCAAATCATTCATCAATAAAAATCTAACTCAGCAGGTAAAGGAGAGATTTCTGAGGCAAGATAAAAATCAGTCGGTTCCAAAAGGACCTTTTCAAGCATCATTGGGAGCATAGAAGTATTTTGAATCTCAGCTTCCAAATAGAC